GGTTGGTCTATGGAGCTGAAGCCTTGCTGGAAAACCTTTGGGTTTCCACCCCTCCTCAATCAGTGGTTAAGGTAATCACAAAACCCTTCCTGTGAGCTCGTTCCCTCTGTCCCAGGACTTTTCACGATCACGTGCCCCCCCCCCCCCGGGGGAGACCCGCCCTTGGCCACTCTCTTTGATCTCAAGCAGTTGCATGTCATGAGCCTTTTTCGGTTTCGGTGTCAGGCCAGCCTCTGGTTCCGTGCTCAACCCATGACTCGTACGCCAAGAAGTCTGCTGAGGTGGGGAGCTGTCCTCTCCTTTCAAGTCCATCTCTTTTGTGAATGAGCCCTGCCCGATGTCCTCATCTAACTTCCTTTAGGACACATTTTTCTCAGATCCAGTCCTAAGCATCCTTTCCTCAGACATTCTCTCTTAATGAGGAATAAATGAATAACTGAATGTCAAGGTAGATCGTGGATGTTGGGTGGGCACGAGGTGAGTCACTGGATAGATGGGGGGATGCTGACTGGATAGATGGATGGGTAGTGGACAGATGGATGAATGGATGCATGGTGGATGTATGAGAGGTGAGTCACTGGACTGATGGGTATATGGTGGCTGGATAGATGGATGGATGGATGGATGGATGGATGGATGGATGGATGGATGATAGGTGGGTAGCTGGAGAGATGGATGGGCACTGGCCAAATAGATGGATGGTGGTTGGATAGATAGATGAACAGATAAGGGACTGGATAGGTGGATGGATAGTGGACAGATGGATGGGTTGGTAGTGGATGGATGGACAGTAGTAGATGTATGGATGGTGGGTGGATGGATGGATGTATGGATGGATGTATGGATGGATGGATAAATCTTATCTTCAGCAGCCTCTTCACCTATTTATCAGAACCCAAGAAACCTCAGAATCTCTGTGGGACCCGGGTGGTTGTGTCTCAAGAGTTCAGAATTTAAGTCAAATGTCCTCCCAAATAGTGAACTGCACTCCCCTGCCAACATTCCAAAAGCCACATTGAGGAATTTAAACTACACAGGCAGGAGCTAAGCCATTTAGACCATTTTCTCATAAAAATGGAACAAATGGAAAAAAAATCCAAGTGTGGACATTCTTATGCAACATTTGCCTTTTCCATTTAGAAGACCTTAAAACTCTAGAGTTGAAGTCCAGTTTCAGTAGGTTTACTGCCATTTTGAGTTTGTGATAGTATCTTCATGGAAGAGACCGTTTCCCTTCCTGTTCTCCCTTCTAGTACAGGCATTTTGCTGGGCCTTCCTAGCCTGTAAAAATTGCCTGCTGAGCACCACTTACGACTGTTCTGCAAGTGGTTTAGAGAGCATGTGCCGGGGCTTTCTTAAAAGCAGCAACATTTGAGGTTAGAATGACAGCATTTGGTTCTCTCAAGCAGCAAGATGAGCCAGCTGGCAATGACCCCTTTGCAATAAAATATTAATAGGAAGAAGCAGTCTTTTTATCATCTCGGGGACTTGCTGCAGACTTCCTGGCTGCGTTCCTCCACTTCCTGATTCATTCATCCACATGGTGTGGAATACACCGGATTCCATCTTCTTATAGCCCTGCAGGGAGGAATTCTGGTGGCCTTTCCCCAGCGCATCTTGGCAGACCCAGTGATACACTGCTCCTTGATTGAGGACTTGGCACGGGAGCTAAGGTAAGCCTTTTTATGGCCTTATCCAGAACGGGCTTCCTCGTACATGACATCCTCCTCAAAGAATGTTTCCAAAGAGTCTGTCGTAAAACTTCTGGGGGAGTAGAAGTTTCACGTGGAGCCTGCTCACTTCATTTCACAGACGGTGGAGAACACTACCACCTCCTCCAGAATTTCTCCAGCCGAGGTGGGCCCCCTGGACGGGCGGGTGGGAGAGTGCCCACGGGCTGCCTGGGAGCCAGGGGGCTCTTCTGTGGCAGCTGGAGCAGAAGGAAGCCGGCTGCGGAGCTGTGAGTGGGAAGGAGGCATTCTACACACTTGTGGGCCCTTCCTCCCTTCACGATTCTGCCCAGATGTTGGGATTCTCTGGAATTTTGAAAGGGAGACTACAGGGAAACTGGGCCAAACGGAGCCTTTTGGGAAGTGGAGGCAGACCGAGGAGACGTCCTGGGTTGTCTGAAAGGACGCAGGAGCCTCTCCAAGAGCCTCCTGTCATTCAAGCAGACGGAGTCAGGCTCCCTTCTCGAAGGACCCCATCCTTCAGGGCAGGAAACCAGCATAGCTTTCCAGAGAAGTCACCAGAAGAGGCAGAGCCAAAAGACGGGCTGCAGATCTTGGCCTGAAACTCAAATCAACCGGCTCCGTTTCCTTTCCAAAGCTGCCTTCACCGCCCCTGGCCAAATATCCCCTCCGGTCAGCAAGACCAGAGCTCCCGGCAATCAGGCACTGGCGATCCTAGAAACCATCTTTAGGGTCAGGGATCAACTCTCCTTCGGCACAGGAAGGCTTAGTGGGGCTGTGGGGAAGAGTGTGCCTGAGACAGCAGAGGTCACCCCATTGCAGACTCCACACCTCCAGGGGGGACACGTGGCCGGGACTCCAGGGCTCTCTGGGCGGACGCATCAGTCAGTCTTGTTTTACTACAGTGAAGTGCCAAGGGCAGCCAGCTTACAGGAAGAAAAGGTCGACTTAGCTCACAGCACTTGAGAGTCAGCAGCGTGGCTGGGGAAGCCTCCTAATGGTGGAGGCATTTGTGTGGAAGAACTCACATGCCAGGCAGGAAGTCAGAGAGAGATGGCCGAAGTCCCTTTCAAGGACATCTCCTCAGTGAGCTAAGACCCTCCCACAAGACCCCGCCTCCCCTAGATTCCATTGCCTGGAACTTGCTGTGGACAGAAGACTTTAATTACAACGGACCCGTGGGGTCACTCGGACCACTCCCAAGCCATAGCGGGGAGCTTCGCAAGGTCTCCTATCCCTTCCAGGCCCAGGTCATCAAGGTCAGAAGCACCCTCCTCTGCCAATGGAAGGTGTCCCTCCAGAGGCTCTGGCACCCCCAGGGTAGCCCAGTGACCACCATCAAGGAGGGCGTTCAGTGACCATGGTCCTGGCCACTAGCAAGGCCACAAGAGGCCATCTGGCTGCCCTGGTGGGGCCCTGCGGCCTTGCTGTGCCCTGAAATCAACACTTGGAACACAGGGGCGGGGGGCTCCAGCTCCTGGCTCACTTCCCTCACCCCACGCTGGCAAAGGGAAACAGGGAGAATTGTACTTACAAACTTTTATCTGAATTGTTCTTACAACTTCTGTCCTACGCACAGTGGCGTTTTCAAAGTCTGGACGGGGTGGGGCCGCCAGTGCGGGAGCTCCTTCCTCCCCACCCTTTCCATCTTTCCCGGGTTCCTCCCAGCCCCGGGTTGATCTGCAGGCTGCTGAGGCAAGGCCCACGGTGATAAGCCGGGCAGTGGGTGGACAGCAGGATGCAGCCTGCCAGGTGCCGATGGCAGTGGGGACAGGAGGGCGGAGGAGCAGGGGCTCAGGGAAGCCTTCCCCCCAGCCCGCCAGGGAGGAGTGCTTCTGATAAGGCGCTGGATAAACCAGACCAGAGGCGAGAGCCAGCCAGGGCTCCGCTGGACGGCCCTGCCTTCGTTCCTGGGGCTCCTGCACAGCAGCGACTGGTCAACCCAAAGAAGAAGCCCTCAGTGACCTGTCCAGGCAGAGCTTCCCTCTCAGGACACAGTGGCTGGACCACTGCATGCCCACCAGACACCCTCCACCACCCCGACCAGCGGGTCCAGCTCTGGACAAAGGCTGTCACTGAGGCCTACAGTCACACAGTGGCAGAAGGTGGGCAGGAGGACCTTTCAAGGGACTTTCCATCCAGACAGGGCATGTGCCTGGGGGTTTTGGAAACTCTGGGCACAGGAAATGTGAATTTTTAACTGTACACACACCAGCAAAATAAAACAGCACTATCATTAAGACGTGAAGGGACAGGACCTTGGTCTTCAGGGTGAGGCAGAGGCTTCTTGGGGGACTGGTCAGCTCTGTCTGCGCTGGCAGCTCTGCGGATCACCTGTCCCTTGTCCTTAGCCCAGGGTAAGCTCCTGAGCTACCTCCTTCCTGGCACATCTACCAGAACCCGCTCCAGAGTGCACTCCCTGGAGTCTGACCTGTGAACGTGACCTAACTGCTCCTAACTGCTCCTATTGCATTATGAAGTATTTTTAAAAATATTTTTTTAAAAATCAAAATTAATAAATAAACAATGAGCACTAGGATAGAGCCCTGTTCCTCTGTGGAGCTGTCTGGGAGGTGGACTTTGGATTGGCCTGCACTGGGGAGTCCATGGGCTAAGTCCCCTCAGAATGCCTCCCACCCTGTCGCCTGCAGGGGACATCAGCAGGTGGCTCACCTGGGGTGCCCCACTTTCTCACCTGTTGGAGTCAAATTTTCCCTGTGTGTCTCACAGGGCTACAGGAAGCAGCCCGTGACAGCAGGGGTCCCAAAGAGTAAGGCACGAAAAATCCAGGCTGTGTGGCTCTGTAAGACAGGACACCTCCCTAGGTGCACAATTACTAAATCAGCTGGTTCAGAGAGACTGTGAACATACACATGCACCCCAG